CCCCAAAACCCCAAAACCCCAAAACCCCAAAACCCCAAAACCCCAAAATTTTAGATTAGGAGAATTAAAAAAGTAAGATTAATACTAAATAAAAATATAATATCAATACCGTAGGTATTAGGTAAAGTTACTGATTCATTTATCAATTCTCTAAGTTAAAATGAAGTACTGATAAAATATCTCAATCAATGAATAGATTTCAGCCACAATCCTATTACTACGTTCTACCACTCTATCTTATAATAAACTTCTCAATAATTAATCTCTTTGTGCTCAATTAAGCTTCTCTGATAAAAAGGGTCAATATCACATTATGACATGTTTTTTAGTTTATTTGATGTCATTTTTGGTAAAATATTATTTGAGTCATAGAGCATTTTCCCCATTTTGCTGAAGAGGTTATCTATCAATTATGATGAACCATACACGCTATTCATTCGAAAGTCTGAAATTATTTTCTTCTACATCTCTTACTTCATGCAAGGAGTGTTATCTAAAGATGGTATGAGATCCGATATTGATTTATCTTATTAATGTTGCTTTTTTAAATCAATATGGCCTGATTATTTATCATCTTAGGACTCATTGAAGGTCTAGTCTTTTGTTTTGAACTCTCCACTTCTCATAAGCTACTCATTCTAGAGATTCCTCTTATCCTCATCTACATTAGTCTAGTTAAGGATTTTTATATCGTATTTAGAGATCTCCATCGATTGATCTTTCTCCTACCTTTCTTGTAAATCTTCATTTTCAATATCATATTCTTCTATTAGAATTTTTTCTCTAAGTTCAGATTATCTTTCATTGGTTTGAGGGGACAAGTTTTCCTCTATTTTGATTTGATAGAATTGAACCTTAATTTGTGCATCAGATACTTCTTTTCCCTCACTATCCTGTCTTAATTGTTCTGTTTCATTATCAAATGATGAAATGCTTTCTAATGAAGACTACTTTTCCTCTTACTATTAATCTGTATTTGAATAGGTTATGTATTCATTTTAGAAAGTAAAGGTCTTTGATCTGCCTTTCAGATTTACTACTCTGTTTTGCAATTATTCTTTCTATCAGCTTATTTTCTTTTATTTGTGTGTAGGTTTAGCTTCTTAATTTTATTTGTTTGATTCCTCTTATCCATTACTCGATTTCTTACTTCTCGCAAGATAATCGAAATTCGAAGAACCACCATCTATGCTCTCAATTAATCCTCCAATCTATTCGGTTACTTGTGGCTCATTATTTTAATGGAAAGCTTAATCTTCAGGATTATTTTTTAGACAACTTGCAGTTTATTGTATTTATTTCAAGTTTTTGGCATTCATTAACTGGCTTATTGTCACAGAAGGTTTGATTTTGTTTTTAGGAGTTTTTCAATTGCAGCAAAGGGAAATACTGCAAGACGCTGATTAAGACTGTCGATTTATTTTTCTTGAAGTCATTCTATTTCGATAATTCCTCTAATGTAAAATTTAATATAGTATTCCTTTATTTGCTTTAATTGTTTGTTTATAATATCAAAATTAATTTAGTAACCCATTTCATAATATATTTTATTTTGCATATTACTAAATATTCAATAATTTTGTTAAGAGGGGTTTTGGGGTTTTGGGG